CGCCACTTTGAAGACGTTAGCACCTGAAGGCAAATGACAGTTCTCGAAATCCCACCACACCGAAACTTTAACTCCTCGAGACTCTTCCTCGTGGCGCCACGTAGAAGAAGAGAAATGCGAGAGGAGAGAGGAGGAGATTGGACGCGGAGGGTGGTGGTGAGGGAGGAGACGGAGGAAAAGGGTTTTGTAAAGTTTCATTCTTTTTTAGGAGAAGGAGAGGTTTCATGTGTGATTTGTAATGGCGGAGGTGAGGGTTTTAGGATTAACCCCCTTGGTCATGTGCAAGTCACGTGATTAGTGAGTCAGTATGGGCCGTTGTGTGTTAAGCCCATTAAGGTAGGAAGCTTTGTTGGGTCCATATAACTGTAGGTGAATTCAAAAGACTAGCATATTGACAAGAGGTGAGCCAACCTCCTATTAACAATGTTTGTATTGTCTGGCTCAGTAATATTGATACTGATTAAGAATGAATTGTGCTCTCACTAATCTCGGTCTCCTAACCGAAATTTTTGACTTGTGATTTAACATTTTTTTTTACACTTTTTTTATTAAAAAACAACTTTTAATTTGATGATTTTTAGTTTTTCTTAGTTAAAATTTTTAAAAAATTAAAAACCGTCTCTTATCCGAAGTTAAGAACTCTAATTAAAATATTTGGGTTAATCATGGTCTTAGCTTCCTATTAACAATTTTTACATATCATATAAACAGTGGCTCAGTAATATTAGTATTATTAATACTGATTAATAATGAATTGTATAACTAACCTATATATTTACAATGTTTACATATCCTTTTTTAAAGATAAGTATAAAAGAAAACGTTTTCACAGAGATATATTTTATTTATTAATAATCAAAAAGTTTAATATCCTATTAGTCAGTCTATAAAACTGATCAACCAATTTTCTTTGATTTAAAAATAAGAGAAAGTGTACATCTTGGAGACATTAAAATTAGAAAACTAATCTCCATAATTTAAGACAAAAACATATTACGTAATTTCTCTGCCTCTCCCTGCTTGTAACTCATTTGTTATCTAAATCAGACAGTGTAACTCCTTTGACTTTCTTCTCAAAAGACAAAGCTTTTTTTCCTTCTTCCTCTGCCTTAGCCGTCACAGCCATATTCTCTTCTGAGAGTTTAATGTCCTCAAGAATCCGAGCTTCAGATCTATCAATCTTCTCTTGAGCTGTTTCTTTTACACTCTCAACTTTAGGTGCTTCTTGATCAGTCTTAACTTCAGATCCAACCTTGACGTTCCTTGTTTCAGAAGTCTTCAAATCTGATCCAACGTTAACATTTGATGTTTCAAGAGTCTTCTTTTCAAAATCTTTTGGAACTTTAATCTCTAAATCTTTAGAAGATTTAACCTCAGCAACCTTTAGAAGTTCTGTCTCTGCAGCTTTAACTTTATTAGTCTTGCCTTTAGAAACCTCTGGAACATTCTTATCTTCCAAGACTTCAGGAACATCTAACTCTTTTTTAACTTTTGAAACATTTTTATCCTCCAACACCTCAGGAACATGTGCCTCTTTTGTAACCTTAGGAGGAGCATCAACTTCATAAGCTTTTGAAACATTCTTATCCTTCAACACCTCATGAACATCTGAATCTTTTGTAATCTTAACTTCAGACATATTAGGAGGAGCATAACCTTTAGAAACATTCTTATCCTCCAATACCTCATGAACATCTGCCTCTTTTGTAGCCTTAACTTCAGACAATTTAGGAGGAGAAGAAACTTTAGAAACTTTTGAAACATTCTTATCTTCCATGACCTCTGGCTCTTTTGTAACCTTCACTTCAGGCAATTTAGGAACAGAAACCTTGGGAGCTTTAGATGTTTTCTTAGCTTCTGATGATTCCTCTGGAAACTTAACTTCCCAATTCTCTGAATAATTAACTTCATGCTCTTCAGCTTCTTTAGCTTTAGGCGTTTCAGGAGTCTTAACCTTTGAATCTTTTGGAATATTGACGTGAAGGTCATCTCGAGTCTGAACATCAAAGGTTTCTGGATCTTTTACATTAGAAGCCATCATAACCGGAGCATCATTAGGCTTTGAAACCTCTGATGAAACATCACTTTTGTTGTTGTTATTCACTGGTTTTGCCGGAGAATGACCCGTTAGTTCTTTTACTATTGCCTTGTCCTGTTTAAAACATTTCCTCCATAAATCTTACAAGTTAAATATAAGTTCAATACTCTTACAAATCACAATATAATATATTTATGTTAGGAAACTTTTTTTTTAGAAAATTTACTTGTGTAGAGTAAATTTTTCGTTTTAAAATAACTACTCCATCCGTTCCTAAAAGATCCAAGTTCTGGAAAAATATTTTGTTTTAAAAAGATGTATATTCTATGTTTTCTATGAGAAAATTACAAGTGTCAAAAAAATTAATCGGTTTTATTAGATTACTATTGGCTAAAAGTTGTTGAAGATTGAAAATTACTGAAAACGATAGTGATTTAATGTGTTTTCTTAATAAGTGTGGAAACACTAGAAAGTCTATCTTTTAGGAACAGAGAGATTATTGTTTTATAAATTTAATGCATAATTCATTAACTCTATGTTATTCTATTTTTCTATTGGTTGAAAAGTGGTTATGTGTATAACTAATTGTGTTTTTATCTTGAAAATATGTAAAACTAAATGTTTATGTTTTCTTAATGTGTGTGCAAAACACTAAAATGAAACAAGAAAGTATTAGGAAACTTTTTTTTTTTGGATAAAAGTATTAGGAAACTTGAAAGCTTAAGAAGACATTTTAAATGATATTTTACAATATGGTTTGTTTAAACTTTTTTCTACTATTTCATAGATGTCTTTTGTACAAGTATTTATATTCAAACAGTAATGGGATGACAGTATAAAACATTTGAATATGGATTGTATCTTTTTATTTTAAATGATTTTTGTAAATGAATGTGAAAAGTTTACCTCATGAAACAAGAGACTGAGAGATTGGCGTTTGCTGAGTTCATCCTCCACATCATCTTCAATCAAAATCTCTTTTCCTTTCTCGCTCCGTCGTGCCGCAGCCGCTTCTTCATCCACCGTGGTTAGAGCATTGTTCTTGCTCTTTTCCTCCTTTGCCTTTTTATGAACCGTCGTGTCTCGATCAACGGGAATGAGATCGTCATCGGTATCTTTGAGAACCTTTGGCTTGATGGCACAGTTACCCATCTCGCCAAGACACAGAGACTTTTTTTTTTGGGTTAGGAAATGATAATAGTATTGTCTCTCTTAAATTTTCTTTTTATGTTCCGAGAAATGATGAAAGTGAAGGTGAAGGGATGGTCAAAAGAAGATTTATGTCCCGGTATATACTCTGCGGTCAGAGAGAGATAAAGATTTGATTAATTATGAGTTTCCTAATTAAACAAAAAAAATTATAAAAAGACAAGACGTAAATTGATTTGTTTTATAATACAAATTATTATAAAGTAGTAAAGTATATATATATTCGAATCTTTTTATTTCGATGCATTTTTGGTACTTAATCGAGCTAGTGTATATTATGGTAAGTAAAAAGGAAAATAAATAAATAATCCCATCTTATTTCCATGTTTCTATATCCTTCTGCATGGAAAACGTCTTACGTTAAAAATTAAAACCGTATAATGGAAGGATATCAAATGGACCTCGGCCCATTAAATTCTGAAAAGATCTCAACAGCCCAGACAAGAATAGGAACTGTTTGAGTGTATATCAAGCTTGATGCTAAATTGAACTTGTTGCCACAGCTTCAAATTTAGTTACATTGCTTAAATGTATTTAAACTTATTGCAAATGTTGATTCATAATTCCTGTTATGGATAGTATTCAAATATCATTAAAGAAAGAAAGCTAAGACTCTGAAACAATAACTCCAACCATATAGCTTTTGTCTGAATCCTTCTGCATCTTGCTAAACTTTTAAAAAGCTTGAACTTCATAACAATATATGGCAAAATAAGTTAATAAATTCCAGATACAATACTGGTCTTCCTTATAGTCTCACACAATCTAAATTCAACATATAAAAAAACCCTCACAAAAAACAAACATCTCTACTTCTCAGTCTTCACTTTCTTCTTAGACTTACCCGACCGATCCGAAGAACCTGAACCATGTTTACTCGCAGAAGGCTCTGAATGCTTCCTTTTAGAAGACTTAGGAGTCTCAGTAAAACCAGAGAACAAACTCTTCTCTCTACCACTACGAGTCGAACCTGGATGTCTCAGAGAAGACTGTCCACTTTTACGCCTACTACTTAAAGCAGGGTTAGAGTTTTTAAGAGAGGAACTAACTGCTCCTAAAGCCTTCTGCTTATTCTGAATTGTCAATGTATTAAGCAGCTCTTCTGGTTCAGGGAACCGAACCATAGAAACTCGCCTAGAAATCTTCCCAACTAACCATAAAAACACAAACAACAATTATTAAAGACAAGAACACAACTTGTTTTTTCCCAACTAACCATAAAAACACACACAATAATTATTAAAGACAAGAACACAACTTGTTTTTCTCAATTAACCATAAAAACACAAACAATAATTATTAAAGACAAGAACACAACTTGTTTTTCCCAACTAACCATAAAAACACACACAATAATTTATTAAAGACAAGAACACAACTTGTTTTTCTCAATTAACCATAAAAACACAAACAATAATTATTAAAGACAAGAACACAACTTGTTTTTCCCAACTAACCATAAAAACACACACAATAATTTATTAAAGACAAGAACACAACTTGTTTCTGTAAGCAATGAGAAAAAAAAAAGAAACTTACCAATCTTGGATTCGTTTTCAGAAGGTATAATCACAGTAGCATCAGCTTCTTGAGAAGCAAAGCTAACAAGTTCAACCTCTTTACCTAATCAACAAAAAAAAACAAAATCAAGAAAATGTTTAATAAAAAAAAACAAAAGTCAAACTTTTTTTACCAGAAGAATCCTCGAAACGTGCCAAGACTCCATCTTTATCAAGATTAACCTTAAGCTCCTTCCCTTCAATCTCCGGAAACTGGAAAAAGACCAAAATACCCTTTAGTTCCAGAAAAAAGAAGAAATATTCATTGTACAGACAGAACATACATGGCTCATAGGGCACTGTATGAGCCAAAGCTCCTTGGATCCAGTAACATCGAAGTCAACGAGAGGCTGCAAGTTGTTGACTTCGAAATCTTCTGAAGGTTTGTAATCCAATGCCATCTCTCTGCTCTCAACAATTAGTAAAGTAAAGACTGTAAATTGAAGGCGGAAGCAATACGAGAAAGCGAATTCGAGAGATGGGTCAACCTCAGACACGAAGGTTTCTCTCTGTCGACGGTGGAAAGGAGGAGAGAGAGAATAGTCACCGGAGAGAGATTCGTGCGGCGATGACGATGACCTAAAACCCTTTCTCGATTTATAATTTATATCTAGTCCTCGTGAAACGACGTAGTTTTGGGTGAATTGGGTTTTGCTTTTGTATCTAGAGCTTTTGGGCTGAGATTATTGGGCCTTTATTGGACATCTTAAATGAAAATAAGGTTGATAAAATTATTGGTGTATTGTTTTTTAAGTTGTTTTGTGGTGTTCCATGGTCATGTTCTTACAATAAAAGTTGAGAACGGCATATTTTCATAATTTAGTGAGTGTAATACAGTCATTAGATGGTGAGTGAGTCTATAAGCACAGACGTGCGATGTGCGGCAATAGGGTTCTAAACCGAGATTAATTCACAAGGGTTCTTTGTGTTCCTTTAAACTGAAAATAAACTTTGGGCGTGGATTCTCATAAACGGCTTCTTACAGGTTCTAAACCGAGCATTCCCTTTGATTCCTTTGCGTTGGTCCCTTCCTTTTCCTCGGTGCAACTTGTCTGCAAAACCGATCCAAAGAATCGCCTTCTTTGGTATCATACGATGTTTTTTGTTGGGATTAAAGATCCCACATCGGAAATATGAATGGGACATGAGTAATATATAAGGGACTTGGGCCAATCCACTAATTGCCAATTGGTTTTAAGTTGGAAGCCCAAGAAACTTATCATGGTATCAGAGCCACCCGATGTTGGGCCACTCCGTGGATGTTGTTCCCACAGTTGTCCACGCATGAGCGTGAGGGGGAGTGTTAATGAATGAAACTAAGTCCCACATCGGTAGTTGGAGAAGTAATTAAGTAATATATAAAGGGTTAGGGCCAATCCACTTATCACCAATTGGTTTTAAGTTGGAAGCCCATAATAAACCCAAAGTTATCATGGTATCAGAGCCGGCCCACACCCTGACCCATTAATCCGGCCCAGAAAGTGGCCCGATCAACCCATTAGCTGATGGCCCAGAGAAGGCTCAATTCTATCGAGATTGCTAGAAGAAAAAAAAAAAAAAGCATTGTCTCGGTAGGAGTATGATGGATTGTGCGAGATTAATGGTTATACGCACCATTATCTCGAGGGAGGGTGTTGGGATTAAAGATCCCACATCGGAAATATGAATGGGACATGAGTAATATATAAGGGACTTGGGCCAATCCACTAATTGCCAATTGGTTTTAAGTTGGAAGCCCAAGAAACTTATCATTTTTGTTTTGCATACGAAGACAGGTTTATTTAATTTTGTGTGACTTGTATGCAAAACAAATATTGTATTATTCTTTTCTTACCTGGCTTGATGCATTTTCTTTCACAACTGTACTTCTTTTAGCTGTCCTTTTCTGTGCAACACAGAACTAGTCATAAGCTATAACAAAAATGAGTTAAAAGACAGAAAGCTTCTTGAAGTTAAAAAAACCCAACAAAATGAAGAAGGAGGAATTGTCTGGAGTAATTGTCCTGTGATGCCCTAAAAACCATAACTTTTGTACCACGTGAAGTTTTTTCATGTTCGCTTTTTTTTTTTTTAAGATGAGTTAATCAGTGAAAGCCAACATCTCTTTCTCATATCTCAAGTTACTACATTGGAAGAGAAGAACTCCTAAAAGCGCTTAAGAGGGCAAAAAACTAGTGCTTAACTTTTAGTTCATCCACACTTAAATGCAACTTAATTAGCAAGTTCTGATTCCACCTCATTACAGCAAAAAGGTACATTTGAGACGTGATAAGAAGACAGTACTGAAGTTCCAGAGAAGCATCGGTTGCTGTTCTTGCTTGTTATCTTCCAGATCAGTACCGTCCAATCAGTACTGAAGTGATTTGAGAAATTTGATCCTTCAAGTACTCCTCTGGATTAATATAACATGACTTAGACTATTGATCACAGAAACTTCAAGAAGAGTTTTTGCGAGAAAGTCTGATCAAAATATTCCCTTTATTAAAATTTATCAAAAAAACATATGTTTAAGAAACTTTTTTCAAAAACCACCATTACGCAAAAGCAAAGTATAATATTAGTACTTTGCTTGAGCAGTTTAAAACGTGCATAGATTATAATACTTACCGTGAGATGTTGCCATGCATGTAAAGAAAAGAAAAGAAAAGGATATCCTATCGTTGAACAATTTATATATTTTTGTATATATATATACACAAATCACAAGAGCTAAGTCCAAAGTCACAAAACATCTTTTGTGCGGCCATGGATTCCGTCGAGCATCCCCCACTTTCTGCCCTTATTTGCCCTTCCGTTCGATCCAACCACTCCTCTTCTTTCAAGAAAAACGATGGAGATATATTTCGGGTAATCAACATTTCTTATTATTATTTTCCAGAAGTCGTAGACGACGAATTTTCATTTTATTCTCCCTACTTTGACCACCGCCTTTACCCACTTTACTGGTGCAACAACAACGATTCAGAAGTGTCTTTCTGTCCTGCTTGTCTATGCAAAGAAATCGGTTCAACATATTACTTTTGTGTCAAATGTGAAGTATCATACCACAAAGAATGTGTCCAGTCCCCCCTTCTAATCAAATCTTTTCATCACCCTAAACACCAGCTCCAACTTGTCACGGTTAATTACTCATATTCATCTAGCCATGATTTTCAGGACATATCTTGTTATTATTGTGATTCACGCTGTGGAGGGTTTCGTAAAATATTTTATTACTGTTTTATTTGTAAGTTTAGTTTGCATCCTATTTGCACGACAAGACTCTCATTCTTCAACTATCATAAAAGACATGAACACACCCTCAACCACTTTCCCAGAAAAGCTGATTTGATATGTGACGTTTGTGGGAAAGTTGATAGCAAATTTCTTATCTACGTATGTCTTCAATGTGATTTTATTGTCCATAAAAATTGTATCTACTTTCCATTTGTCATAAGAATTTCCCGTCATGAACACCGTCTATCTTTTACATATTCTCTTCCTAGAATATTTTCTTGTGGAGTTTGTCGTCAAAATGTTGACAGCAACTATGGAAATTATTCTTGCATGAAAGATTGCACTTACGTTGTGCATTCTAAGTGTGCAACTCGGTTCGATGTGTGGGACGGAAAAGAACTAGAAGAATCAGAAGAAGAATATGAAAATCTGAATTCTTTTGAAGTGATAGGTGATGGAATTATACAACATTTCAACCATTCACATCATATGAGGTTTGATAAGAAGACCACAGGAATTGAGTATGATGAAAAAAACCGATGCCAAGCATGCATACTTCCATTCCATGGTGGTGGCGTTTACAGATGTATGACATTCAACTGTGATTTTGTACTTCATGAAGCATGCGCAAATCTTCCCCGGACAAAACAACATATAGCACATCCCTATCCTTTTATTCTACAAGTGAGTGATACCAAAAACAGTTTCTTCTGTGGATATTGTGATCGTTTTTCGTATGGTTTCAGATATGTGAGTAGCAAAGGGGGTGAGTCTATAAGTATAGACCTTCGATGTGCTGCAATATCTGAGCCATTTGACCAGCAATGTCACCCACATCCTTTGTTCTTAAGCAATGAACTTGGAAACTATAGACCATGTTCAATATGTGGAAATAAGAAACTTCAAACTTTAAATTGTATCGAATGCGACTTCTTTTTGTGCTTCTATTGTGCTACACTCCCATATAAAGTCAGATATGAGCATGATGAGCATTTTGTCACCCTTTCTTACAAAGAAAATGCTAGGCTCAGTTGGTGTGAGATTTGTGAGGAAGCTTTGGATTCTAACAAATGGCTTTATACATGTGATGACTGTTTTGCCGCTTTTCATATCCCATGTTTACTAGGAAAATGTACACCTTATGTCAAGCATGCTCAAAACCTCTGGATAGATGATGAAAAGTTTAATATAATTCCAAACAATTGTCTCACTCGACCCATCTGTGATGAATGTGGAAGACGTTGCCAAGATAAACTAATGCTTGAAGTTTATGATGATGACAGAAGAATGCTATATTGTTATAATCATTGGGAAGTAGGCTGTATTTAAGGCCATGAATCCGAGAGCTCGTGGATGGGAAAAATAATAGCAATTTACATGTTCGAGTTGGTGTATGTGTTGCTTTTACGAGTCTATATTAAGGTCGTTTGTATAAATTAAGTTACACTTGTAATTTGTTAATACATTGTAATAATTGAAATTCTCTATGTAATATAAGAAATATGCAAGTTTTCAAATTGGCACCATGATGTAGAACTCTCGGCTCATATAAAAACAAGTAGTAAGATACTAGTCAAACATCATGATAGAGAAAAAAAAATGAGGTCGGCTGTAGATGGGAAATGGTGAGAATTATAATTAAACATGTTCAAGCTTCACTGTCGCATAAAGGAAAAGAAAGATTCATTTAGGGTTCTATGTTCCTTGGAACTGCAAATACATTTTGGCTATGGATTCTCACAAATGGCCTAAACCAAGCATGCCTTTTGATTCCTTGCTTTGGTCCCTTCCTTCTCCGCGGTGCACCTTGCTTGCAAACCAATCCAAAGAGACTATATTTTTTTTTGCATTTCGAGACTTGTATACGAAGTAAATGTATTATTCTTTTGTTACCTGCCTTGATGCATTTACATTCGTCAACTTTACTCCTCCTATGTCCTATCTCAACCTTATTGAAGATTTTCACTAATTTTTATTTCATGCAAGACAACTAGCCATATGATTTGTCTTTAACAAAAATAATGAAAAGACAGAAATGAATACACTGATGACAGCAAAAAGAAACATTTTGAGATGTGACAAGAAGACAGTACTGAAGTTCAAGAGGAATACAAGTTGAGATTGGCTTTTACAGAGAAGCATCTGTTGTTGTTCTTGCTTTTTATCTTCCAGGTCAGCACCGTTCAATCAGTGAGGTATTTTGAGAAATTTAATCCTTCAAGTACTCCTCTGGATTATAACTTGACTAATTAGACCCTTGCTAAATGTTCTTCTCTCGCTACAGACTAACATAGACTTCAGGATTAGCTTTTACGAGGAAGTCTGATTATGTGGAGTCAATAATCCGTGCATGCGCTCGTAAGTTATAAAGCCTGAAAAGCTTGTGTTGGATCTCTACTTATCCGATCTTTCCGAAGAAGCTGAAGCATTTTGTGACTTACTCGGTAATTTTGTTGAAAGTAACGCACCGTTTCAAGCCATTTAACCTCATCGGTTTGCTATTTTTTTTTCCTTCATTCTTCCCTTCCAAAAGGGATACTGTTTTGAATACATGAAGATGAAACACTTAAAAAAAAGACAACCCGCTTGGATGGCAAAGATACATTATAAGATACACATGTGAACAGTGAATTGGTGATGCTGAGATTCCAGAAAAGACAATAGCTAGGAGTCGAAATGGCGAAACCAAAAGTGAAGGTAAGTTTCCGAGTGTGCTGACGAATGCTGCACATGTTGATGCCTAGAAGAAATTCTCATTCGATCCAGTCCAAACAACTTAGCCTTAATAAGAACCTTAACCTCTTTGACCAAAATGTGAGATGGTTTGCTATTAAATTTACTATATTCTCATAATATCGAATTTAAGTAGTGTAACGGTATTAATTCCTATTTAAACGCACCGTTCCTATATTCTCTTCCAAACTCCGTGAAGAACTCCACCCAGTTTCACCGTCTCACCTCTAGAATATCATTTTCCTTCTCTAATGATTGAACAATGGCGTTCTATTTATCGAGCTCGTTATCTCCAACCCACTTCTAAAAACCCTTCTCTGCATTCAGTCTACGAAGAAGATGATGAGTCGAATCCTCTGTTTTTGGTTGTAGTAATACGTACTCCCTCCGTTTCAGATTATTTGTCATTCTATGTTTTTACACACAGATTAAGGAAACATTTAATTTTACATATTTTCAATATAAAAATACAATTACCAATACACCTAACCACTTTTCAACCAATAGAAAAATAGAATATCATATAAACATAATAAATTTTGTCTCGAAACTCTAAAACGACACTTATTTTGAAACGAAATTTTTCCTCTAGAATGACATTTAATTCGAAACGGAGGGAGTAATAACTAATAAGCAGTTATGAACTGGTTTCGTTAAGTGGGTATGTTGCAACTTGATTACTTTCAGATATTTTTTTTGGTTGTAATAGTTCAATCTTTATCAGCTCATTACTCTTTACTTGAGAGTTCGAAAATTTCAGAGCTTTGATTTGTTTTTTTTTTTTTTTCTTTGGATTTGCCAGAGATTAAGGGGAGCTGAAAGAGAACGAATCTGCAACATGGAAGAGTCTGAGAGAAAAAGGCAGCATGTCATGGCTTCAGATTGTCATGGCTTCAGATTGTCATAGGAGATTGTGGACGATACGTACAAATTGGGATCCTGAAACCACTCACCGGATCAACTCTAGTGATTTGTGAAACTGTTAGATTCCAATCAACACTAGGCAAGACTCGTAGGACTGTGAGGAAATTGTGAAACTGTTGATTTAGCGATTTGTTAAAATTAGTGAGGAAATACACTTTAAAAAATATATTATGGGGGCATTGTGCACCCTTTCTCCTCTTACTGGCTTCGCCCCTGATCACTAGGCAAGACTCGGTATGTCAAATCAACACTAGCTATTATAAAATCAAGAGAAACTCCATACTCTTAATCTATATATAACTATCTTTTGTGTGGCCATCCATGTATATCCTCCACTTTCTCGCCTTATTTTCCCTTCCTTTCGTTCCATATATACTATTCTCTTATTAGTTATCCCGGCGTATACTTACCTGATACAGATATTAGTTTTGTGATAATTGACATTCCTTATTATTTCAATTCTTCACCTTATAGCTCTGACCACCACTTTTCCCCCTTTATTGGTGCAACAATAAAGATTCTGGACATGAGTCTTTGTGTGGGCTTGTCAATTAATGTAAGTAATCAACATATCACTTCTGCGGAGAATGTGAACAATCCTACCAACATATTACTTCTAAACCAAGCATGGCATTTGATTCCTTGCGTTGGTCCATTCCTTCTCTTGTATGCACCTTTCTTGCAAAACCAATCCAAAGAATTTATTTTTCGCATCAAAGATGTTTTTCTTTTGCATACGAGGAAAGGTTTAACTATTGCATTCTGTGACTTGTATAGGGAGCAAATGTATTATACTTTTGTTACCGTGTTTGATGCATTTTCTTCACAAGATTCGACAACTAGTCATGGGATTGGGCAATAAAAAATGAGTGAAAAGACAAAAAGCTTCTTGAACTTAAAGACACAAACAAAATGAAGTAGATGGAACCTGTCCGTAGTGATTGTCCTGGGATGCCCTAGAAATCCATGTTCCCAGAATGTGAAGGAACGAACAGCGAACAGATCACTCTCAACAGAAACTATATAATCCATTTCACAAATTTACGGCTTTTTACCACAAATTCCACAAGTTCAGATCCAGCGATCATTACCATACATTAATTATGATAATATGCAATCGATATATTATGATAATATGGAGTATGATTCAGTCATAAAGGAAAAAACCATCAGATCTATATCATAAAGCACAATGAGTTTTACCAATTGAAAATAACATGGCTTCTATTTAATCTCTACTCTCAGTTGTAAATAACCAATTGGTTCTTGAGTTTACCATTTTCTAGAATGCTGAATAAGTTCAAAATTTGTTATATGGTTTGACCCTCTGTGTGGAAAATAAAAAGACATTGAATTTGATAAAGATTCTACTTTGTTTGTGGGACTAGCCGGGTAGTAAGATTTTAGTCCCTAAAAGAGGGTAAGTGCAAGAACCACGAGAAGAATATGGGAAAACATTCGTGAAAGCAAAGAATTAGTACTTTGCTTGAACAGTTAAATATAACGTGCATAGAATGCAATACCTTCCGTGAGATATTCTATGTAATGAAAAGTACAAACTCTTATATATTTTTAGTATATATATAGTCACAAAGCACAACAACTAAACGCCAAAGTACTCTCAATCTATATATAACCATCAAAACATCTTTGTGTAGCCATGGATTCCTTGGAGCATCCTTTACTTTCTCCCCTTCTTTGCCCCGCCTTTCGATCCGAATACTTTCGTTTTTCTTATAAACATATCGAATACTTACATGATAGAGATTTGAGTTTTATAAAAATAAACCTTCCTTATTATTTTCCCAATGCCAAAGACAACAAATCTTTTCTTTCAGCTTATATCGACCATGGCCACTGCCTTTACCCCCTTTATTGGTGCAACAACAAAGAATCAAGACATGAATCTTCGTGTGGTGCTTGTGAATGTACAGAAATTGGTACAACCTATTATTTTTGTGACAAATGTAAGCAGCCTTACCACAAAGAATGCGTAGAGTCTCCTCCTCTAATCAAATCTCCTCATCACCCTAAACACAATCTTCAACTTATCACACCACAACGCACGGCTCACCCTGGTGACGATAGTAAGATAATATATTGTTCTTACTGTGATGCAAATTATAAATATAATCCTCTAAAGTTACTTTACTACTGTTTTATTTGTAACTTTGGTTTGGATCCCGTTTGCGCAACAAAACCCTCATTCATGAACTATCATAAAAGACATGAGCATACCCTCAACCACTTTCCTAGAAAAACTGATTTGATATGCGACGTTTGTGGTGTATCGGATAGCAACTATATCATCTATGTGTGTCTTCAATGTGATTTTGTTGTCCATAAAAAATGTATTCACTTGCCATTTGTCATAAGAATATCCCGTCATGACCACCGTCTTTCTTTTAATTATTCTCTTCCTAAAATATTGTCTTGTGGAGTTTGTCGTCAAAAAGTTGACGACAACTATGGAAATTATTCTTGCATTAAAGATTGCAAGTACGTAGTGCATTCCAAATGTGCAACTCGAATAGATGTGTGGGATGGAAAAGAACTTGAGGAAGAACCAGAAGAAGAAAATGAAGATCTAAATTCTTTTGAAGTGATAGGTGATGGAATTATAAAACATTGCAGCCATTCACATCACATGATGTCTGAAAAGAAGGCCACTAACATAGTGTATGATGATAAAAATCCATGTCAAGCATGCTTACTTCCATTCTCTGGTGGTGGCGTTTATATATGTATGAAATCTAACTGTGATTTTGTACTTCATGAAGCATGTGCAAATCTTCCGCGGACAAAACAACATATAGCATATCCCCATCCATTTATTCTACAAGTGAATGATACCAACTATTGTTTCTTCTGTGGATATTGTGATCGTTTATCATATGGTTTCAGATATGTATGTAGCAAAGGGGGTGAGTCTATAAGCATAGACGTGCAATGTGCTGCAATATCTGAGCCATTCGACCACCAGTGTCACACACATCCATTGTTCTTAAGCAATGAACTTGGGAAAAATAGATCATGTTCAATTTGCGGAAAAGAGAAACTTCTAACTTTAAATTGTATGGAATGCGGCTTCTTTTTGTGCTTCTATTGTGCTACACTCCCTTATAAAGTGAGATATGAGTATGATGAACATTTTCTCACCCTTTCTTACAAAGAGAATGTAAGTCTCAGCTGGTGTGAGGTTTGTGAGGAAACTTTGGATTCAAACAAATGGATTTACACATGTAATGAATGTGGGGCCACCTTCCATATCAAATGTTTACTAGGAAATTGTGCAACTTATGTCAAGCCTGCTCAAAATCTCTTGTTTGATGGTGATAGGTTTAATATAATTCCGAGCAACCGACTCACTCGTCCCATTTGCAATGACTGTGGAAGGCGTTGCCAAGATAAACAAATGTTCGAAGTTTATGATGACGATGACCAAAAAAGACTGTATTGTTTTCATCATTTCGAAGTGGACGATGGTTAAGGCAAGGAATCCGAGTGCTGGTGATGCAAAAAATAATACTAATTTACATATTGTTCTAGTTGGTACTAACTGTGTGTTGTTTTTAAGAATCTGCATTAAGGTAGTTTGTATAATACTTATTATTTACTTGTAAAGTTGTAATACATGTAACTATTGAAATTATAGTATAAGAGATATGCAAGTTTTTTTTTTTTGATAAATCAGAGATATGTATGTTGTCAAGACAGAACTAGTCATAGGATTGGTATACAACAAAATGAATGATAAGACAGTAAGGAATCCACTGATAACAGAAAAAAGGAACATTCAATACGGGACAAGAAACAATACCGAAGTTCCAGAGGAATTGAAGTTAGAGATTGTCTTACAGAGAAGCATCTATTGCTGTTCTTGCTTGTTATCTTGATCATCAGTACTGTCCAATCAGTGAGGTGAATTGAGAAAATTGATCCTTCAAGTTCTCTTTTGGATTATAACTTGACTAATTAGACCCTTGCTAAATGTTCTTCTCTTTCTGCAAACTAACATAAACTCTATAAGAAGGCAACCAAATATGTGTTACACATAAAAAAATTTTTTTAACCTTGGGGGTATCTCAGGCCCATGGAGAGACCCATACTAATCCCCAAAGGGGTGGTGCAGCCCACGAATGGATCCTCACTCCGGGTATTCAAATGGGCCGTAAGATAGGCCCATATCCGCGTGGCCGCGTGTTACACATAAACTTCAGGAAGAGTTTTTGCGAGAAAATATGGTTTGACCCTTTGTGTTAAATAAAAAATTAACAATGCATTTGATAAAGATTATACTCTTTTTTTTGGGGGGGGGGTGCGGGATAGTAAAATTTTAAACCATAAAAGAGGGTAAGTGCAAGAAGTAAGAGTAGAATATGGGAAAACACACGTAAAAGCATGGAATTAGTACTTTGCTTAAGAAGTTAAAAGATGCATAGAGTGCAATACTTGACGTGAGATGTTGCCATGTAAAAGAAAAGAAAATGATATTCCAAATACAGCTAAACTCCAAACTCTCAATATATCATAACATCTTTTGTGTAGCTATGGATTCCATCAAGCATCCACCATTTTCTCACTTCATTTGCCCTTACCTTCGATATGTACACTTCTCTAAGAAAAATAAAAAAGATGATGATAATTTTCTGATGATCGATGCTCCTTATTACTTTTCAAAAGTAGAAGGCGACAAATCTGAAACTTAGCTCTTACTTTCACATCATCCCCACCACCTTTACCCCCCTTTATTGGTGCAACAACGAAGAATCAAGAGATGAGTTTTTGTGTGGTGCTTGTAAATGTAAGGAAATCGGTACTACTTATTACTTTTGCGAAAAATGTAAGATACCTTACCACAAAGAATGCGTCGAGTCCCCCCCCCCCTCCCCTCTAATCAAATATCTTCATCACCCTAAACACCATCTCCAACTTCTCACGCATCATTACCTATATCTCCCTTGTCGAAAATATGATTTCCCTAGTGTCTGTACTGAGATAACATCTTGTTCTTATTGTGATGAAAATTATGGTTATAATCTTGCAAAGTTATATTACTACTGTTTTGTTTACAAGTTTAGTTTGGATCCCATTGTGCGACAAGACCCTCATTCCTGAAGTCTAAAAATGGCATGAGCATACCCTCAACCACTTTCCCAGAGAGATGTTTATTTGATATGTGATGTTTGTGGGGTATTGGATAGAAAATCGCTCATCTATGTGTGTCTTCAATGTGAATTTGTTGTCCATAAAAACTGTATTTACTTACCATTTGTCATAATAATATCCCGTCATAACCACGTTCTTTCTTTTACATATTCTCTTCCTAGAATTTTGTCTTGTGGAGTTTGTTGTCAAGAAGTTGACAACAACTATGAAAATTATTCTTGCGAGAAAGATTGCACTTATGTTGTGCATTCCAAATGTGCAATGTGTGGGATGGAAAAGAACTGGAGGAAGAACCAGAAGAGGAATATGAAAATCTAAATTCTTTTGAAGTGATAGGTAATGGAACTATAAAACATTCAAGCCATTCACATCACATGAAGTTTGAAGAGAAGACCACTAACATTGTGTATGATCAAAATCAGGGGCGGAGGCAGCTGTAGGAGTGGGGGGTCACCTGACCCCTATAGATTTCTGTCAAAAAAATTTTTACTTGTATTTTGAAACAATATTTTTGGTAAAATAGTGTAAAATTAGTATTTTGACCCCAATAATATTTTTGAAAACGTGACTTGACTCCAAGATTTTTTTTCGAAAACTCGTTTAAAGTGATTTTACTTTGGTCAAAGCCCAAAGATACCTAATAACTATCTAAACATTATTTTCATTTATTTACCCTAATTGCTTTCTACTATCTTTTACAACTGTCCAACACTTTTATCTACTAAATATAATTCATGTTTTACACATAAACATTTTTCCTTACATCTTTTATCATACTTTAATTTCTTTTATCCATTTATAGATCACAAGTTTAAAATTACTGCTTATTTTCTTAAAAAAATTAAGAATGTGAACAGTTTTATTAGATGTTTGGGATATATGTCAAAAAAAAATTTGGACATGTATTTATATATCACTTTACCTATTCAAAACTTATATTATTTAATAAATTAAAATAATAATAATATTTAATTAATATTAATTAATTTTTTTTTTGTAAATAAAATTGACCCCGGTCAATTTTTTTGCTGGCTCCGCCACTGATCAAAATAATAGATGTCAATCATGCATCTTATATCAAGCCTATATACTCGAGATCTCTTGTTTGATGATTGTAGGATTAATATAATTCTGAACAATGGTTTTACTCGACCCATCTGCGGTGATTGGGGAAGGCGTTGCCAAGATAAATTAGTGCTCGAAGTGTATGAAGGTGATTCTGAATATGACTATGACGCCGACAGAAAAATACTATATTGTTTTCGTCACTGGGAAGTGCGGCGATAGTGAAGGCGAGGAATAGTGCAGGTGGTGACGGGAAAAAATAATACTAATTTACATATTCTAGTTGGTATCAGTTCATATATATATGTGTATATATTATATTCCAGTTGATATTGTGTTGATTTTAACATTTAGTAAAATGTTTATATTTTATTTGTAATGCATGGTAATCGTTGAATCCTCCATGTAGTATAAGAATTATGCAAGTTGTCAAACGGACACCATGATGTAGAACTCTCGGCTCATTAAAAGAAGTAATAAAAAACTGTCAACCAACATGATAGAGAAAAAAAAAAGAGTTTGGCTGAATGGTGAGAATTATAATTAAGAACTAGATCATCATCCAGGCACCCACTCAAGTTTTAATTTGGGATGTATTATATATAATTTGGGACAAAAAATGTGCCATTCATCTTGTATTTGTGATGTATGCATCTATGCATTAAAAGAAAAGTATCATATTTTCTAATTTATCTTGAAATTTATGGGTTAACTCCTACGAAAAAATCGAGTAATCTAATGAATATTAATTTATATACCACGTAAATAAATAAATAAAACCTATGAAATCTTATATTCTAGAGAAATTGGGGCAACAAAGATGTTAGACATTTTGATCTTCATCCTATATATGTGATGGAAGTTTAGTATTATTTTTTCCTATAGAATGTGATCAATATCGAAGTTTAAGCAATATTCTAGTTGGATTAGGTGTTAGACATTTTGATCAACAAATGCTATATATCGAAGTTTAAGCAACATTCTAGTAAAATAATGTGATTAGGTATTTTTTAATCACATTATTTTAAGCAACATTCTAGTAAAATAATATATAGCATTTGTTTAAGCAACATTCTAGTAAAATAATGTGATTAGGTATTTTTTAATCATATATAGCATTTGTTGCCCCGTCATGAAATTGCTTAAACTTCGATATATAGCACTTCGATATATAGCAATTGCTTAAAATAATGTGATTAGGTATTTTTTAATCAATATTCTAGTTGGATTAGGTGTTAGACATTTTGATCTTCATCCTATATATGTGTTAGAAATTGGGGCAACTATACCCTATTAAATCTCTATGTTCTAGAAAAAAATTGGACAACAAATGTGTCAGACATCCTTCATCTTCATCATGTATCTGTGCTGGATGCATCTATGCATTAAGAGAAAAGTATCATATTTTCTATTTTATCTTGAAATTTTTGGGTAACCCCTACAAAAAGATTCAGTTTCTGATAAATGATATATACTAAAGTTTAAGCTCTTTTTTCTTGATTAAAAAATACCTACTCACATTATATTTTTTTATTAATGAATGTTAAACTTATTTTCATGGTACATGGGCATCGTTTTAATATTTTAATGACTAATTTAATAAAACTTCATATTCCACCTAATTATGTGGATTAGCCCTTATAAAACATGTAATTTCTATAAAAACGGAGACAAATAAGATCTCAGATCACTTTAATTTCCATCACATGTCAGTGCATGATCAAGTTATGCATTCAAACAAAATACTATATTTTCTAATTTATTATACAAAAATATCCAGTTTTTTTTCCAAAAAAGTGCTATATATACTAAAGTTTACCTTCATTAATGTTGTTTTTAAAATACCTAATCACACTCTAAATTTATATTCATGTATGCAAATTATATTTAAATGGTACACGGACATCATTTCTAATTTTTCAACTAGTAATTTTTTTAAAAATTCAGATATGTCTTAATTAGTGGATTAACCTCTATAAAATCTCTATTTTCTAGAGAAAAAAAGAATACCTAATCCCTTAAACCTCTTTAATCTTCATACTATATCTTTGCATGATGCAGCTATGCATTTAAACAAAAATACCATATTTTTAATTTATCTTGAAATATGTGGGTTTACGTAGAGATTGAATTTTCAAATAAATGTTATCTATAATATTTAGCCTCTTTAGTATTGTTTAAAAATACCTAATCACACTCTAAATTTAAATATATAAATATACATATATATATATATATATATATATATGCTAAAATTATTTTCATCTTATATAGGAATTTTCTGTTGAGTAATTTATTTAAACTTCATATACCACATAATAAGTGGACTAACCCCTATAAAACATTTTCTTTTCATTAAAACGGGAACACCTAAAGTATCAAAACTATTTCACTGCATGGTGGAGCTATGCAATCAAACAAAATACCATATTTTCTAATTTATCTTAAAATACGTGGGTTAATCCGTAGAAAAAAATCGAGTTTTCTTATAAATGTTACATATAAGCATCTTTAGTTTTGTTTAAAAATACCTAACCACATTCAAAATTTTTAATAATGTACTAAACATATGTTCATGACACCTTGACATCATTTCTATTTAATAACCGAAGAATTTAATAAAACTCCATATACCACCAAAATCAATGAACTAAACCATATGAAATCTCTATTTTCTAGAGAAATTTGGACAATTTATGGATCAAAACTTTTTGATATTCAATTTATATCAGTGCTGGATGCATCTATGCATAAATACAAGAATTTTCTATTTTCAAATTTATCTTTAAATATGTGGGTTAACCCCTACGAAAAGATCGAGTTTTCCGATAAATTTTATTTGTACTTAAGTTTAGTCTCTTTAGTGTTGTTTAAAATATCTAACACCTATAATTTATTTAAATATGTGGGTTAACCTCGACAAAAAAATGACATTTTAGATAAATGCGATCTATATTATTTAACCTCTTTAATGTTGTTTAAAAATACCTAATCAACTCCAAATTTAAATATATATATATATATATATATATATATATGTGTGTGTGTGTGTGTGTGTGTGTGTTTTTGTGTGTGTGTGTGTGCTAAACGTATTTTCATGGTATATACACATCATTTTTAATTTTCTAATGAGTAATTTATTTAAACTTCATATACCACCAAATAAGTGAACTAACACCTATAAAAACTCTTATTTTCAGAGAAAATGGAACACATAAGGTCTCAAACTTCTTTAACCTCCATACTATGTCTCTTCATGATGGAGCTATGCATTAAAAGAAAATACAAAATTTTCTAATTTATCTTGAAATATGTGGATTAATCCCTACAAAAGATCGAATTTTCTAATACATGTTATATATAGGCCTCTTTAGTTTTGTTTAAAAATACCTAACCACATTCAAAATTTATATTAATGTAATAAAATTATGATCACGGTACTTGGGTATCATTTCTATTTTTTAACCGAAGAATTTAATATAACTCTATATACCACCAGAATCAATGAACTAAACCCTATGAAATCTCTATTTTCTAGAGAAATTTGTACAACTCATAGATCAAAACTCTTTGATATTCATTTTATATCAGTGCTGGATGCATCTATGCATAAATACAAAAATTCTATATTTTACTAATTTATCTTGAAATATTTGGGTTAACCCCTACGAAAAGATAGAGTAATTTAATAAAACTTTATATACCACGTAAATCAAAGAAGTAAACCCTATGAAATATCTATATTCTAGAGAAATTGGAACAACAAAGTTGTTAGAAATACTTGATCTCCATCCTATATATGTGATAGAAGCATCTATGCATTAAAAGAAAAGTACAGTATTTTCTGATTTATCTTGAAATATGTGGGTTAGCCCCCACAAAAAGATCAAGTTTTCTGATAAATGCTATATACTGAAGTTTAAGCTCTTTCATGTTGATTAAAAAAATTACCTAATCACATTATAAATTTTTATTAATGTATGCTAAACTTATTTTCATGGTACATGAGCATCATTTCTAATAATTTAATGAGTAATTTAATAAAAGTTCATATTCCACCTAATTATGTGGATTAACCCCTACAAAATCTGTAATTTCTATAGAAATGGGAACAAATAAGGTCTCAGACCTCTTTAATTTTCATCACATGTCAGTGCATAATGAAGTTATGAATTAAAACAAAATACCATATTTTCTAATTTATGTTACAAAAATATCCAGGTTTTTTTTCCAAAAAGTGTTATATTTACTAAAGTTTAGTCTCGTTAATATTTTTTTTTAAATACCTAACCATGCACACTCTAAATTTATATTCATGTATGTTAAACATATTTACCTGGTACATGGGCATTATTTCTAATTTTACAATGAGTATTTTTTTTAAAGAATCAGAGACTTCATAATTAGTGGATTAACCATTATAAAATCTCTATTTTCTAGAGAAATGAAAACGCCTAAGTTTGTAAACCTATTTAATCTGCATACTATATCTTTTCATGACGCAGCTATGCATTTAAAGAAAATACCATATTTTTAATTTATCTATAATATTTAGCCTCTTTAGTGTTGTTTAAAAATACATAATCACACTCTAAATTTAAATATATATATATATATGTGTGTGTGTGTGTATGCTAAACTTATTTTCATGGTATGTAGGCATTAATTCTAATTTTCTAATGAGTAACTTATTTAAACTTCATATATAACCTAATAAGTGGACTAACCCCTATAAAACTCATCTTTTCAGAGAAACGAGAACACCTAAGGTCTCAAACCTCTTTAAACTCCATACTATGTCAATGCATGATGGAGCTATGCATTAAAACAAAATACCATAATTTTTAATTTATCTTGAGACATGTGGGTTAATCCCTACAAAAAGATCGAGTTTTACATAAATGTTACATATATGCCTCTTTAGTTTTGTTTAAAAATACCTAACCACATTCAAAATTTATATTAATGTACTAAACTTATGTACGTGGTACTTGGGCATCAGTTCTGTTTTTAACCAAATAATTTAATAAAATTCTATATACCACCAAAAAGCAATGAATTAAATCCTATGAAATCTCTATTTTCTATAGATATTTGGACAACTCATGGATCAAAACTCTTTGATGTTCAATTTATATCAGTGCTTGTTGTATCTATGCATAAATACAAGAATTATATATGTTTCTAATTTATCTTGAAATATGTGGATTAAGCCATACGAAAAGATTGGGTTTTCTAATAAATGCTATTTGTACTTAAGTTTAGCCTATTTAGTGTTGTTTATAATATCTTATCACATTAAAAAGGTAAAAATGTATCCTACTGTATCCTAAATTTATTTTCATGGTACATAGATATCAGTTATAATTTTCCAATGAGTAATTTAATAAAACTTTATATACCACATAAATCAAAAACTAAACCCTATGAAATCTCTATATTTTAGAGAAATTGGGATAACAAAGCTGTCAGACATCTTTGATCTTCATCCTATATATTTTCTGGATGTATCTATGCATAAAAATGAAAGTATTGTATTTTCTAATTTATTTTGAAATCTGTGAGTTAATCCCTACAAAAAGATCGAGTTTTCTGATAAATGCTATATACTAAATTTTAAGCAATTTTTTTGTTGATTAAAACATACCTAATCACATTATAATTTTTATTAGTTAAACTTATTCTCATGGTAAACATGCATCTTTTCTAATATTTGAATGAGTAATTTAATAAAACTTCATATTCCACCGATTTATGTGGATTAACCCCTATAAAATATGTAATTTCTATAAAAACGGGGACAAATAAGGTCGCATACCTATTTAATTTTAATCACATGTCAATGCATGATGAAGTTATGCATTAAAACAAAATACTATATTTTCTAATTTATCATAAACAATATCCAGTTTTTTCCCAAAAGTGCTATATATACTAAAGTTTAGCCTCATTGATGTTGTTTTAAAAATACCTAACCACACTTTAAATTTATATTCATGTATGCTAAACAAAATACTATATTTTCTAATTTATCATAAACAATACGAATATTTATTTTTAATTTTCAGATACGCCATAATTAGTGGATTAACCCCTATAAAATCTCTCTTTTATAAAGAAACAAGAACGCCTAAGGTCTTAAACCTCTTTAATATTCATATTATATCTGTGCATGATCGATGCAGCTATGCATTTAAAAAAAAATACCATACTTTTACTTTTTTCTTGAAATATGTGGGTTAACCTACACGAAAAGATTGAATTTTCAGATAAATGTTATCTATAATATTTAGTATCTTTAGTGTTGTTTTAAAAATAGCTAATAACACTCTAAATTCTTGTATGCAAAACATATTTATAAGGTACATGGGCATCATTTCTAATTTTTCAACGAGTAAATTTTTAAAATTCAGATACGTCTTAATTAGTGGATTAACTCCTATAAAATCTCTATTTTCTAGAGAGACATGAAGATGATGGTTTGGGACTTAAACCTCTATCCAGAGAAATGGGAACACCTAAGGCCTTAAACCACTTTAATCTTCATACTATATCTTTGCATGATGTAGCTATGCATTTAAACAAAAATACCATATTTTTAATTCATCTTCAAATATGTGGGTTAATCTCTATGAAGAGATTGGATTTTCAGATAAATGTTATCTATAATATTTAGCCTCTTTAGTGTTGTATAAAGCTATCATAAAAAATATTTGATAGTTTGATTTTATTCATAATGAATGCTATCTTTAATTATTATTTATATTAATAAATTTATTGATGTTATTTTACGCTTAAAATGCACTTACATGTACGGTACATATTTCTATCCATCAAATACTCGAATAAAAACAATATAAATTTGTATTTATTAAAATTTAAGTAACACACATACTGTAAATCATGTATTTTTCTTATTTTACATAAATATATTTTATAATAAAAAACAAAAATATATTTTTTCTATAAACTAAAACTCTACAAATAAACTTTAAAAAGTAAAATTTCTAGAAATTTAAAAGTTCCAATATTAAGAGAAGAATATAAGAACACGTACGTAAACGCATAGAATTAATACTTTGCTTTTGAGTAGTTAAAACGTGCATAGATTGCAATACTTTCCATGAGATGTTTACAAGTAAAAGAAAAGAATATCCATTCGCTGAACTTTTATATATTTTGTATATAGTCACAAATCACAAAAACTAAACTCAAAAATCGCAATATATTATATAACCATCAAACCATCTTTTGTGTAGCCATGGATTCCGTCGAGCATCCTCCACTTCCTCACCTCCTTTGCCCCATCTTTCGGTACTTTTCCTTATCTTTAAACATGTCTGTGAAAGATGATGGGTCAGTTATAATCAAAAGTCCTTTTTATATTTCAAATACCGAACGCAAGAACTTTTTACCTTATGTCAACGTTGACCACCCCCTTTACCCCCTTTATTGGTGCAACAACAAAGAATCAGGAAACGAGTCTTCGTGTGGTGTTTGTAAAAGTAAGACAGTTGGTACAACTTATTACTTTTGCTGCAAATGTAAGGTATCATTTCACAAAGAATGCGTTGAGTCTCCCCCTCTAATCAAATCTGTTCATCACCCTAAACACCATCTCAAACTTTTCACAAGTGGGAATATATCTTGTTCTTATTGTGATGAAAGTGGTGGAGATAGTCGTTTAGTGCTAAATTACTATTGTTCTATTTGTAAGTTTGGTTTGGATCCTGTTTGCGCAGAAAGTCCCTCGTTCCTAAGGTATCATAAAAGGCATGAGCATATCCTCCACCACTTTACCAGAAAAGCGGATTTGATATGTGACGTTTGTGGGATATTGGATAGAAAGTCTCTCATCTTCGTGTGTCTTCAATGTGAATACATTGTCCATAAAAACTGTATTTACTTACCATTTGTCATAAGAATATCCCGTCATAACCATCGTCTCTCTTTTACATATTCTCTTCCTAAAATATTGTCTTGTGGAGTTTGTCGTCAAGAAGTTGACAACAACTATGGAAATTATTCTTGCATGAAAGATTGCACTTATGTTGTGCATTCCAAATGTGCAACTCGAAGAGATGTGTGGGATGGAAAAGAACTTGAGGAAGAACCAGAAGAAGAATATGAAAATCTAAATTCTTTTGAAGTGATAGGTAGTGGACTTATAAAGCATTCCAGCCATTCACATCACATGAAGTATGAAGAGAAGACCGCTGACATTATGTATCATGATAAAAGGCAATGTGAAGCATGTGGGCTTCCATTATATGGTGGTTGCGTTTACAAATGTATGAAATCCAAGTGTGATTTTGTACTTCATGAAGCATGTGCAAATCTTCCCCGGGTAAAACAACATATGGCGCATCCCTTTCCATTGAGTCTACAAGTGAGTGATACCAAGAATTGTTTCTTTTGTGAATATTGTGATCGTTTTTTGTATGGTTTCAGATATGTGTGTAGTAAAGGGAGTAAGTCTATAAGTATAGACGTGCGATGTGCCACAATATCTGAGCCATTCGATCATCAGTGCCACCCACATCCATTGTTCTTAAGCAATGAACTTGGAAAAAAAAGATCATGTTCAATCTGCAGAAAAGAGAAATTCCGAACTCTAAATTGTATCGAATGCAACTTCTTTTTGTGCTTCTATTGTGCTACACTACCATATAAAGTGAGATATGAGCATGATGAGCATTTCCTCACCCTGTCTTACGAAGAGAATGCAAGTCTCAGTTGGTGTGAGGTTTGTGAAGAAACTTTGGATTCAAATAAATGGCATTATATATGTAATGAATGTGGGGGGGCCTTCCACATCCTATGTATACTAGGAAAATGTGGACTTTATTTGAAGCCTGCTCAAAATCTTTTGTTAGATGATTATTCGATGAATATAGTTCCAAACAATGGTCTTACTCGAACCATATGCGATTACTGTGAAAGACGTTGCAAAGATAAACTAATGCTCGAAATATGGGAGGATGATCACGATGATGATGATGATGCTGGTGATGATGATGATGAAGAAAAAGCACTAATTTGCTATCGTCATTGGGAAGTGCACAATAGCGATGACCAGGAATCCTTGTGGGAAAGATTATTATCCTAAGTTACATTTCTAGTTGATATTGTGTTGCTTTTAATAGTTTGGATAATATTTATATTTTACTTGTAATACATTGTAATCGTTGAATTTCTATATGTAGTATAAGTAATATGCAAGTTGTCAAATTGGCACCATGATGGAGAACTCGGCTCATATATATACTGTCAAACACCATGATAAAGAGAGAAAAAAAGAGGTTGATAAGAGTTTGTGTGTAATTTGTTTTTATTCCGCCCAACCCCCCACTCTTGTATTCCACAACTCGAAATACAAGCCAAATGATCTAGACCTTTAGTCCTTAGATCTTTACAATACATCAAAAGATACTCTCAATTACAAACAATCTAGTATTTATAGTTTCTTCAACTCTCAACAACTCCTCTCTAACTATATCGACTTGTAACCGTTATAACGTCTTCTAACGGTTCTTCAACTAACTCCTTCAAGACTCTTCTTCCACGTCATTTCTCTCCACGCGATCCTCTTCATTCTGTTTATTAATATCCTTCCTTCTACGGTAATAGACCCTATAGGACTTATCAGAGGTCCGCTGTAGATGGAAAACAGAACAAAAAAAAAATCATTTAAGGTTCTATGTATTCCTTTAAACTGCAAATACACTATATATGGTCTATGACTCTATGGGTATGGATTCTCACAAAAGGTTTCTTTAGTTATTATAAACCGAGCACGCCCTTTGATTCCTTGCGTTGCTACTTGGTGCACCTTGCCTGCAAAACCGATCCAAAGAATCTTTTTTTTTTTTCGCATCAAAAGATGTTTTGTTTTGCATACGAAGAAAGGCTTATTGCATTCTCTGACTTGTATAAGAAGAAAATGTATAACTCTTTTTGTTACCTGGCATGATGCATTTGCTTCACGAGATTCGACAAATTTAGTTCTTTTAGGTGTCATATCTCAACCTTACTGAAGATTTTCACTAGTCTTTTTCTGCATGCAATACAAAAAACGGAACATTTGAGACCGGACAATAAGAAGAGAGTACTGAAGTTTCAGAGGGATTGAAGTTGAGATTGGCGTACAGAGAAGTATCTGTTGCTGTTCTTGCTTGTAATCTTCCAGATCAATACCATCCAATTAGTGAGGTAAATTGAGAAATTAAATTCTTCAAGTGCTCCTTTAATTAACTTCATTTACACCATTGTTCCATGTGCTTCTCTCTGCAGACTGGCATAAACTCGATCCGTAGCCAACCAAATGCGTTACACAGAAACTTCATTACAGTTGCAAACATCATCACACACTCAACAATCTTGAAGAATGTAATACTATTTGTGTTGTTTCAAAATAAAAAAAAGTAAATACTATTTGTGTTAAAAAAAAAAGTAATACTATTTTCAGATGTGCTGCTTGACAAGGTAGAAAATCAAAGTTGAAACTTGGAATATTTACAACACAGCTCCAAGTATTCCTCTAGTTAGTTATATCTCTCTCTCTCTCTCTGTTTTGGTGGTTATTTCAGTTCTTATAAATCCATTGGTTCAAGTAAACATAAACCTATGAGATCTGAAGATGGGGAATTGCCAGTGTATCTCTTCCCGGGAGAGTCGCATTCTCTCTAGGAAACGTAGGTTTTGCAACATTTGGTGCTCCTCGTCTCATGAAGGTATATGTAGTAAACAAACCAACTCATAGATCACAATATATATCATCAACAACTACAGTTTTTCTTTCTCATATACTTCCTCTTGTGGTTTGTTTTATGCTGACGCAAATCATAGTAATTATGACACACGGAAACTAGTACATGAGACTTGGGATAAAAGATCAAGACAGAAGATGTAATACAAGTTAGACGAAGAGAAGAAGAAACCTCAAATCTTGATGCATGACTACCCATTTCTTTAAAAAAAATCATTTTTAGGTGTCATATTTTCAGTTTCACAAAACATCACATGTATTACACAATTACATGTTCTTTATTGTTGGCTTTTTTTTTTAAATGTATTCCGTAAGACAGAGATTTCTTGAAATATGTTAGTGGAAATATTAAATGTGTACCATAATTGTCCTACAAGATTGAAATATTTGTATTTATTTAATTGATGCGATATTGTCTGGCTGTAGGGCATGGTGCAAAATAAAAGTTGATGCAATCTCATCCCACTTTAGAAAATATCATATAGCTTTTTCTCTTTTCATGTACTTGTCATTATCCATATTAAAAAATAAATCATAGAGATGTTGAAAGACAATTGCAAATTCACCTAACCAATGGCGACAGTAAAGTCGCAAGTCGATATCAAAACCATAATCTTCTTCGTAATTAGTTACATAACATGTAATATGTCTTATCTTTGCTTCTTCAGTGTTAAGTTTCTAGATGCTTTTACGAAACTATATTGTATCGTTTTTTCAGTGTGTTATGATTTCTTCATTCTATTTATGTATGGGAATATAATATTTCAAATGCAACCAAAAATATTATATTTTTTGTACGAATTTACGACTTTTTAATAGATGGAAGGTATAGAACTTTGTTTTTTTCTTACTTGATTAAAGTTGGGCGGTCAGTGAATGAACAAGTTGCTTATATTCCAAGTGATCCATAATGAAAGGTATAAATCACTATATGAAAAAAGGAATCATATGTTCTTCGTTTGTCAAATTTTACTTTTGCATCTCATAGATATTTTTGTACGAACGGGGTCCATTCCATTTTTGGGGGTCTATCTTTATAAACTACATTCTTCTTCACTCAAGCATATCGACAATAATATTTTGTTACTACAAATTTGTATAATATATTTATTGGAGATCTACATAATAATAGGAAACCTGTAAGATCAGGTTTTGAAGGTCATTCGTAGGCAACTGATGTTTATTAGACAATCCATCGCTATTGATCATTCTCAAGGAAATTCTAACTAATTAATTTGAAGATATATATATGTTCATCATCTAGATAAGTAATGTTAAGAGTAAAAAGTAATCAATTTTAAGGAAATAAGTTTGTCGAAATGTAAATTAAAACAATATATGGTAAAATAACTATAATTTTGGGGGTTGTATATTAAAAAAAAAACAAAAGATTAATATATACATTTAAAAGCGTGAAACAATTTTTATACACCGACTGATCAACCACCGATTGAAGAACACGATCCTCCAGTGACACCACTAGTGTTATTGAAGTTGTTAGAGCATGTACAATAGGGGTCGTTAAAGAAAAATCCTTTAAGAAAAATTAAATAATTAATGAACTCTATAAAAAGTTAAGGATTTAATCCTTAAAATTTTCTTTTAAAGATGTTTTAGTGAATCTATCTTATTAAAACAGAAGTACCAATAAAATATATCCTTTAATTTTTCAATTTATTTACACAACAATACCATTGTATTTATTAATAATCCTAATTTTTAGTAATGTTGTCTTTTTCAGTTAATTTAATACATTCTTATATTGTTTATTAATTTTAAAAACAAAATAATTTTGGATATCCCCTAGATTTTCTCATATAACAGTTTATGCTACTGATTTTTTTTTCTAAAAATATAGAAGTTTAAATATGAAAATATTAGAAGTGCATAATAATATAATTTACATATTCAATCATGTTAATAACATATAATAAACCTTTTTAAATATTGATTTCAGTTATCCTTAATGCTTAAAAATGTCATATTAAACAATAATTTAATACATATATATTTTAAAATTATATATTATTATATATAAAATAAATATATATATTTACAAAAATGTAAAAATAAATCCGCACAGGTGTGGGGGTCAAACTCTAGTTTTTACATTATTTGCAAGGTCCCACAACACATGACGATTCGTGATTGATTAATATATATTTATATATTTTTTATTTTAAATCTAAAAAATAGTTAAAAAAAATTTAACGATTCCAATGAGGTTCACCATTAGAAATGCTTTTAGTACTTAGTAGTTAATACTATTCACTACATTAGTTATGGCTAGGGAAAATCGCATAAAAAACCTTCAAGGTGGCAACCACTTACACTTTAAACCTTGAGAGTATTTTACAAGCACTTTAAACACTCAAGTTGGCAAATTTAGCATATTAAACCTCCAATCTGGCTTACTTGTACATCAAGTTAAAAATGTGACCGGTACTGTTCAAAAGCGATGACGTGTCGGTTTTTTTTAAAAAAAAAAAAAAATTTACGAAAAAATAAATATAAAAATACAGAAAATATAAAAATTCTTTAAAAAAGTGAAAAAAATCAGAAAAAAATTCAAAAAAAAATCAGAAAAATCATAAACATTAAAAAATCGCAAAATAATTAAAATATTTTATAAATAAAATATTAAAAATAAGAAAAACTTAAAAGAAATTATAAAAAAATCCCAAAATAAGAAAAT